AGATGGTAATTCTATTTTTAATATTTTGAGAATTGTCATACCATTTTTCTACAACAGCTGTACCATTTTGCATTCCCACTAGCAATGTACAAGTGTTCCAATTTCTCTACATCCTTGCCAACATTTGTTATTTTGTTTTTTTGTTGTTTGTTTTTTTAATGAAAGTCATCTTAATGGTAATGAAGTGATATGTCATTTTGATTTGCATTTCCCTAATAACTAATGATGTTGCACATTTTTTCATGTGCCTGTTGGCCATGAAAGTATATCTTCTTTGGACAATTGATTTTTGCATATTGACACTGTATCCCATGACTGTTCTAAACTCATATATTCAAGTAGTTTTTGGGGTAGATTCTTTATGACTTTTCTATGTACATAATCAGGCTGTTTAAAAATGCAGACAGCATTTAGTACTTTTGTTCTAATCATTTTGCCTTTTATTTTTTATTAATAGACTTTCATTTTAGAGCGGTTTTAGGTATATGGGAAAATTGAGCAGAATATTTTCTAGAGTGCCCATGGGCTCCCTGTTCCCCATCCTGCTGCATACAGTTCAACTTATTGTTAACATCTCACATTAATATGGTACATTTATTACAATTGGCAAACTAATATATATTATTATTAACTAAGGTCCATAATTTACATTAGAGGTCACTTTGTGTATGTAGTTCTATGATTTTTGTCAAATACATAATTTCGTGTATCTTCATTTATAATATCATACAGAATAGTTTAAATATCATAAAATTCTGTTTTTCGCCTATTCATCCCTCATTCCTCCCACCAAACACCTGCCAGCCATTTACTCTCTATATAGTTTGCCTTTTCCAGAGCGTCATATAGTTGGAATCATGTAATCGGTAGCCTTTCCAGACCACTTTAACTTCACAGTATGCATTTAGATTTCCTCCATGTCTTTTTCATGGCTTGAGAGGTCATTTCTTTTTGTCACTAAATATTCCATTGTGGTGTGGTTGTACTGCAATAAGTTTACTAGTTTACCCATTGGAAGGACTTCCTGGTTGCTTTCAATTTTTGGCAATTATGAATACAACTGCTGTAAACATTTATATGCAGGATTTGTGTAGACATGTTTTCCAACTCACTTGAGTAAATTGGAAGAAGCTCAATTGCTGGATCATATGGGGAGCCTAGTTTAGTTTTGTATTGAACTGCCAAACTGTTTTCCAAAGTGGCTCTGCCATTTTGCATTCCCACCAGCACTGAATGAGCATTCCTGTTGCTCCACATCTTAGCATTTGGTGCTGTCAGTGTTTCTTTTTTGTTTTGGTTTTGGTTTTGTTTTTTAAAGATGTTATTTATTCATGACAGACACACAGAGAGGGGGAGGGGCAGAGATACAGGCAGAGGGAGAAGCAGGCTCCATGCAGGGAGCTCAACGTGGGACTCGATCCCAGGTTTCCAGGCTCACACCCTGGGTTGAAGGCAGTGCTAAACCTCTGAGCCACCTGGGCTGCCCATTGTCAGTGTTTCTTAATAGATGTATAGGGTTATTTCATTTTTAATTTTCAATTCTCTAATAACATATGATGGTGCACTTCTTTTCATAAGTTAATTTGCCACCTGTACATCTTTTCAGGTGAAATATCTGCTCAGCAGGTCTTTTCTTAATTTTTTAATGAGTTGTTCATTTTCTTATTGTTGAGTTGTCAGGGTCCTTTGTATTTTTAGATATCAAATCTTTATCAGATGTGTCTGCAAATACTTTCAGTTTGTGTGGCTTGTGTTCTCATTCTCTCAACTGTGTCTTTTGCAGAACAGAAGTTTTTATTTTAATGAAGTCCAACTTGTCAGTTATTTCTTTCATGGCTTTAGGAGTATTATACTTCTGTGATACAGTTTGAGTTAATTTTTACGAAAGGTGTAAGGTCTGTATCTAGCTTCACTTGTTTTTTGCATGTGGATGTCCAGTTTTTTCAACATCATTCATTGAAAAAAACTTTCTCCATAAGTTTGACTTTGCTCCTTTTTCTAAGTTCAGTTGATTATATTTGTGTGGGTCTATTTCTGGTCTCTCTCTTCTGTTCCATTGATCTATTTGTCTGTTCTTTCAACAATACCACACTGTCTTGATTGCTGTGGTGTTACTGTAAAGCTTGAAATTGCGCAGTGCCATCTCATTTTGGGTTTGCCATGTGGGACAGAGAGAAGCAGAAGACAAGGTAGGATGGAAACCCTGAATAGTGGGATCAGAACTGAGGTTGGAGATGTATCAAGTGAGGAGCTTAAGAGGGTGGGGTGGGCTTAAGAGGGAGCAAGTGGGCAATTGTTCAACTATCTTCTTAGGGGCCCAGTATGCTGGGCCAGTCTGAGGGTCAATATATTTCTTTGTTGGGGATCCCTGGGTGGCGCAGCGGTTTAGCGCCTGCCTTTGGCCCAGGGCGTGATCCTGGAGACCCGGGATCGAATCCCACATCGGGCTCCCTGTGCATGGAGCCTGTTTCTCCCTCTGCCTGTGTCTCTGCCTCTCTCTCTGTGTGTGACTATCATATTAAAAAAAATTATATATATATATATATATATATATTTCTTTATTGATCAGGCCTAGGTCACATATCTCTTGGGGACACAATGTTTCCTGGAGGAGGAGCAAGGATGGGGATACAGAGTGCCCCAGAGTGCCCTCATGCCCACTCCTGCCCCAAGACTGCAAGCATCCTCCCTCCCTGCACCTCCCCTACCTCTCACCATCCTCACTTCTACTGTTTCAGTGTATTCTCAGGGAGAGTTACTTCTGTAGCTCAATTCTCAATGACAGTGAGGAAGAGAAGGGAGGGTTTGTGAGGGTCTGAGGGGTCTGCCTCTGAAAGCCCCACCTGCAGCCTCACCTCTGCTGAGGACGTATAGGTGGCTCCACCTATCCAGGCTAACTCTAGCTACAGATCTGGCTGCTAAAGGGGATCCTCTCTGTGGACTCCCATCCTATGTCTCCTTCACTTCCTCTGTCTGGGGCCCAACACCCACAGGTCCAGACCACATCCAGGTCACAAGATCCCCCGGCCATCAGAGGGGAACCCAAGACCTTGGATGAGCCTTCTTGGGCTGGCCCCTAAGTCTCCATTGCTCACACAGGAATAGTACAATATTCCTGGGGTCCTGTCACCAGGGACAAGAGGCCCTACCTTACCTGTTTTACCGCAACAGCCTCTCCCTGTCCCAACCCCCAGCTACCTGTGTTTTCCTGCTTTCAAAAGTTTTTCACCAAAGTGGCTCTCCCTCTGAATCCCTGTTTTAACTTTGCATTTTTAGCTCATCACAGAGTGGAAAGCCTTAATTACCTTCAGCCTGGCAAGCAGTTTGGGATTCTGCATCAATATCCCCAGGTGGCATCACATGAACGCAGTGGCCACTTTATTACCTAACTCTGGTTTCCAAATCATGGCTGCACACTGAATTCCAATGTCCAGGCCTCTCCCCAGACCAGTTAAAGCAGAATCTCTGGGTGGGCCCAGGCATTGGTATGTTTTGTGTCTCAGAGGATTCCAATGTCCAATGTAGGTTGACAATCAGAGACTTAAAGCCTTGCCAGCCTGGGTTTTAACTACCTCTCACTGCAGGGGTGGCACCTGCAGGGATATTCATGCAGAATTCCATCATGTTCAGCATGTAGACCTAACTAGTCTACCACTCACTCTTGCAAGGTGGGCAGGTGAGAGCTGTGTCCAAAGCTCCTGAAGGGGCTCCTTTGGAAGAGCAAGGCACCTGGCTGCATCATTGCCACCTTCAGCTACTGAAGGTGATGGGTGTCAGACTAATCTCTGGTTCTCCATGCCTGCCACAGCTGTTCTGGAGACACCTTTCCCTGAGCCACACACCACACACACTGCTGAGGGAAAGAAAAGCCTTACATAGCTGCAAGGCCCATGAGGACCCCTGACTTCTGTACCTCTCTCCAACTGGTCCTCCCACCCCTCTGGCAAGGCCACCTATCGCAGACCCCTAAGGAAGGTCATGTGCCTCAGGCTTCTGGGAGGCAGGTTGGGAGACAAACATCTGAGGGACCTTGAGCACCAAAGCAGAGGCTGTGAGAGACTGGTACACAGAAGGCTGAGCCCAGATGCTGAGTTAACAGGAGACTCTGCCAGCAAGGGCCCATCGGCCCTCTTGAGGCCAGCCTTGCAGAGGGTATGGCAGTCTGTAGGGGGATTGGGGCAAATACAGGTCCCAGTCTTGAGAGGATGCCAGAACAGCTGCTTCTAAGGATGCAGTAAGATTTAGAGGTTGTATCCCCAAACCAATGACTTCCAGTGGCATAAGGACAGCCCTTCCCCTTGCCCACCCCTAGGCTCCCTCCACTTGTTTACTTGTTTCCTCAGCCCCACCTCCCAGGGCTTTCTGTCCCCTCCCCCACTGAGCCTGATTCTCCCAGGAAGTAGCCAGCAGAGAGGAGGGAAGCCTTGTCTCAGCCCCTAGGGCTGAAGCAGCAGGCACAGCTGCTGCTCCTCAGCTCCTGCCCTGGCCTTCCCCCAGGGGCTGGCTCTGGCTGACTATCCCCCAAGTGAGGCACAGTGCCTGGCCTACTGTTGCTCAGTGGGGTGCCCTGTCCTCCTGGCTCCCTGCCAAGTGCTGCACTGGCCCTGAGGGTCCTGCCCAGCACAGGGCTGTGGAATCCTGGCCTTCCCAGCTGGCTCTGGCTGCAGCCTGACTCTCTGGTGTCCTACCTTAAATGGAGAAGCCTGAGGAGGGGTACAGAAAAATAAAGTCCAGTACCTAACCTTGCTTGTGGAGAGAGCTGGGACCAGGCTGGCTGAGGTGTCAGAGCCTATCCTGGGCCCTGGGGTCTCTTTTGGGTGCAGGATGGCTCAGGTTTGCAGTAGGTGCAACGGCCTAGGGTGGCGTGCCCTGGGATGGGCTCCAGACCATTACCGAGGGACGATCCCTCTTTTATGGGTCTAATTTCCAAAGGGCAAGACTGTGGTCAGTAAGTGTTTTTATTGGAAGAGAGATCCAGTCTCCTTGGCTCTGCTAGCGCCCTAGGTCAAGAGGATTTCGATGTCAAGCTCCAGCCGGCTGGCTTTGACCTCATAGCGGCCCCGGATCAGGCCCCGGGTTTGGCTGGTATGCCAGCGCCAGTGAGACTGGATGATGCAGGCTGCTTGGCGTGCCTGGAGGAACCGTCTGCGGGCCTGCCACATTCGAACCTGTGCCTGCACCTTCACCACTGCCCACTCCTGGCAGGTGTAGAGTCTTAGTGCCAGGCGCCGTCTCTGCTCCAGCATCTTGGCCTGCATCGACCTCCACCAGCACTGGATGACCCAGGCCCTGAGAGCTGCGTGCAGTAACGTCCGGCGCACCATGATGCCACGCCACCATGACTGAATCTTTATGGCTGCCTTCTCTAACTGATCAGGGGAGGGGAGAACACAGAGATGCTCAGTGGGGTACTCCTTGCTGTCCCTGTCTGTGGGGCTGGGAAGAAAGGGAGCCTGGGACAAGTGGCCCTGCCCTCTCATTTCCAGGCCCATCCATCTTATTTCCAGTCTCCCGCTCCTCTGTCGTCACTGCTCAGTATCCGCCGGGCAGACCCCTCCCGTGTGGGCCTTACTCACATTTTGTGTGTCCATGGCCCTGGTCTTCAGAGTCCACTCCTCCATCAGGCCACCTGAGTCTGGAGCCCCGCCCTTAACTGTTAGTCACCCCCCCATGAGACTCCGCCCATCTGCACACAAGTCTCTCCCTCAGCAGGTCCCATCATACACATTTTTGCCACATCTCTCTCCTCTCTTCTCTTGCTCGTATCTCCTTACAGATTGGCCAGTCCCCTCACTTGTTGATTCCTGTCCTTTTGGGGGGCCTGCCATCATCTCTTGCTTGCAGCATATTTCTCACACCTAACTAGCATCTTAAGTCTTGCTCTTTCTACATCTTCTAGTCACTTCTTTCTGCTCCTGCTGGTGGCAGCAAAGAGAGATTCACACAACTTTCCTTCAGCTGAGGGGCTCTCCTTTAGGGATACCCATAGCCAGTTTGGATTTCCAGAAGTTTCTGTGTCAGAGCCATGGGAGGGCCCCCGGGCACTGCGTTCATGGGCTAGCATGATTTCATGTAAGATTTGTGGAAGCAAGATCTTTTAGCTGCAATAGAAGGCCTCTGTCTCCCTGTCTCTGACTCTCTGTTGCCCATCTAAAGGGTGGTATGGAACAGGCCACAGCCTCTTCTGGGCTATCACTAAGGAGCAGCAGAGTTAGGAGATGCATACTTAGTTTGGGGTTAAATGAGGCAGATTTCTGTGGTTCACAGTCACCCCTGGGAATAGATCCATCCTCGCCGGCCATCCCACTAGAGATGGCTTCCGGGAGTGCTCCTCCCAGTTCCTGTGTCATGGTGTGAAGATGCGAGGACACCAGCTGCTTTGGTGATATGAACATGTCCTACAGCGCCTGGCACCAGAAGTAGGTGGGCGGGGGAGGAAAAGGGGGGTTTGAAAAGTATGGAGACAAAAGCTGGTCTGTAAAGAGTTCTTCCTGTTATCAGACACATAAAACCATAAACGGATGATTCTCTTCTCCCTGACGCCTGGGGGAAACTGAAGTTCTGTCTTGTCAAGAATATATTCGATAATACAGTGAGACAATTATAAACATACCATCCTTTTTTCTTATTTTGGGGTGAATTTTTTTGAAGGAGAATTGATCACAATCTCTGGTTTCAGGGTAGCAGCTAGTGGGGAGCAACTATGCACAGTGTGAAAGTCGACATGAAAAATCACATTGTATGCATCCAGAGCATCCATAATAAACAATTTTTTTAATCAAAAATGATACTGCAAGGATCGTCACATGAAGAAGTAATCAAAGGTTATGCTGCAAAAAAAATGTTGGAAAACATGACAGAGGTGGGGCAGTGAGCTCATATAAACATTATGTTATGCTTTGGTATTTGGCAACTTTTGAAAATTTACAATTTGTTGTTATTTATTTGTCCTATATATTCACTTGCCTAATTTTAAGCCTGCAATTTTGTATTCTATTCCTTCGAGTCAGCCTTCCAAATTATGTAAGCTTCAGGCCACAAAACCCAGGTCTGCCCTGCCGTGTGTAAGAATGCACTAGTGTAGCCAGGTCTCCTGGGAGCCTACAGAAATCTGTGTTTCTAGGATTCAGAGATAGGACCGGAAGTGCAGACGCAGGTGATGCAGAGATGCTGGGAGTCCTTGGGGACTTGGAAGGCCATTCTGGCTCTGGCTTTAGAGTGCGTGTGCTTTCATTGTTCTACCTGAGGGTTTGCTGGGGACCCACTGCCTGTTGGGCTCTGCACTGTCTGTGACTCCTGTTTTTATATATTCTCATGGTTTTCACGGCCGTGGCACTGGCCATTGGGGCATCTCACTAGTTCTGGCCCCATTGTCAACGACACAACGACCTTTGTATCATGTTAAAAAGCCCTCAGCATCAGGCCCTATGGCCTCGCTTAATGGCTGTCAGGCTGGGTGAGCAGAGCGCTGGTATCAGCCTCTCCAAGGCCTTCATCTCTGCGCTAAGCTGTTGGTCCTGGCATGGGGCATCCATCCACTTGCAGCCTAATCCGCTGGACTGTGCAGAAGGGATCCACAGGCTGGAGGTGTGGCCAGTGCTCTGAGGCTCAGTCCATCTGGGCCAGATTGCCACAGTCAAGATGCAGATCCCACTCTTCCTTGTAGATCTCTCCCCTATCCCAACTCTGGCCTGGTTGGGTTGTTGCCAGAATATTCTGGCTTTGTTTCCTTAGAAGTCCCTGGAAAAACTTGCTAGTCTCTTTTATATTCATGCTTTTGCAGGTATTCACAAATGGCAGCAGGCAGGGCCAAGGGGTAAAATCACAGAGCACAAGCCTTGGCCTCTGTTTCATCAGTTCTTCCCTCCCCAGCTTCTGGCTCTCTTCTTCTGCTGGGTTTCTTGTTCTGATTATAAATATGGAATACCTGTTCCTAAAACTTCAAATAATTCAGAAACATATATGGTGGAAATGAATTTCTTATGAAATTTGCCCCCATAGCTCTTCCTTCAGAATTTATACCATGCACAGACTAGCTTAAATTTTCCATTAAAAATAATTTCTATATTTACTTTTAAGGTTTTACTTTTTTTTTTAATTTTTTTTATTCCTTTATTCGAGAGAGGCAGAGGGAGAAGCAGGCTCCCTGCAGGGAGCCCAATGTGGGACTCAATCCCGGGTCTCCAGGGTCGCAGCCTGGGCCGAAGGGAGGCGCTAAACCGCTGGGCCACCCGGGCATCCCAAGGTTTTACTTTTAATTCATATATTTCAAGCTAAAATTTCCCCTGGCAATCCTCTTTATGTTATTACTGCTCCCAGCTTAGAGGGCATCCTAGACAATTAGTTATGCCTTTCTAGACACATACATCCATGTACCTAAAGAAAAATAAAACTTTTTTGGTTTTTTTTATGTATCTTTTTAAGTCAGTTGAAGTAAAAATCATATAATATAAAATTGACAGTTTTAGTAACCATTTTAAAGTGTATAATTGAGTGGTTTGTAGTGCATGTACCATGTTGTAAAACCATCACCATTATCTGCTTCCGGTTTCTATCAGAAACTTTTTTAAATTCTAATTTTGCCCCCCGAGAAAGAAACTATGTACCCATTACCCAGTCACTTCCCATCACCTCTGTCACCCCAGCCCTAGCAACTACAGATCTGCTTTTAGTTTCTATGGATTTGTCTATTCCAGATGTTTCATATAAATGGAATCAGAGACTACATGCCTCTTACGACTGCCTTCTCTAACTTAGCATGTTCTCAAGGTCCATCCATGTTATGGCACGTGTCAGTACTTCCATGTGGGACTGGAGGGACCACATTCTATGTATCCATTCATAAATCGGCAGGTATCTGAGTAGTTTTCACTCTTTGGTGGTTCTGAATAGTACTGCTCTGAGCATCGTACAAGTATTGGTTTGAACACCTGTTTTCGTTTCTTTTAGTTATAAACCCATGAGTGGCATTGCTGGGTCATGTGGAAATTCTATGTTTAACTTTTTGAGGAACCACCAAACTGTTTTCCACGGTAGCCAGACTGTTTTACATTCCTTCCAGTCTCTGCACACTTGCCAACACTTGTTATTTCCCACTTTTAAAAATTATGGCATCTCATTGGGGTTATGATTTGCATTTTCCTGAGATAAATGATGTTGAACATCTTTTCATGTGCCTTTGAGCATTTATATAGTTTTCTTTGAAGAAATGCCTATTCAAGTGCATTGGCCACTTTTAAAATGGCTTGTCTCTTTGTTGTTGAGTTGTAGGAGCTCTTTATATATTATGGACACTTGATCCTTATCAGATATATGATTTGAAAATAATTTTCCCATTTTGTAGGTTGTCTTTTCACTTTCTTCATAATGTCTTTTGATGCGCAGCAGTTCTTAATTTTGGTGACATCCAATTTATCTATTATTCTTCTGTTGCTTGTGCTTTGGTGTCATAGCTAAGAATCCACTGCCAAATCCAAGGTCATGAAGTATTACTCTTGTATTTTCTTCTAAGAGTTCTATAGTTTTATTTCTTACCTTTAGGACTTCAGTCAATTATGAGTTAATATCTGTATATGCTGTGAGATAAGAGTCCAACTCCATGCTTTTTTTGCTGGGGGTTACCCTGGTGTCCTGGCACCATTTGTTGGAGAGATTATACTTTCCCCTGAGTCTTGGTAGCCTTGTTGAATCAGTTGAACATAGATCTATAGGTTTATTTCTGGTCTTTCGATTCTAATCCATTGATACATGCCTGTCCTTATGCCAATACCACACCATCCTGATTACTGTAGCTTTGCAGTAAGTTTTCAAATTAAGACATTTTTGTCCTCCAACTTTATCTTTTTCAAGATTATTTCGGCTATTCTGAGACCTTTGTAATTCCTTATTACTTGAAAATTAGCTTTCCATTTCTGTAAAAAAAAAAGCAGCAAGTATGAAAGACTGTCTTGCACTGTCTCTATAAATCAGTTTGGGGAATAGTAAGTCTTCTGACTCATGAACACATGATATCTTCCCATGTATTTAGGTCTCCTTTAATTTCGAGGAATTAAACAATATTTTATAGTTTAAGTTGAAGTGTACAAGTCCTGCACTTGCTTGGTTAAATTTATTCCTAAGTATTTTTATTATTTTTGATGCTACTATAAATATAATTGTTTCCTTAATTTCATTCCTGAATTTTCCATTGGTAGCATATAGAAATACAAATGATTTTTGTGCTTTTTATTTTGTAGATTGCAACTTTGCTTAATTCATTTATTAGCTGTAATAATTTTTGGTGGATTCTTTAGGATTTTATCTATGTAAGATCATGTCATCTGCAAGTAGAGATAGTTTTACTTCTACTTTTCCAGTTTGGATGCATTCTAGTTCTCTTTCTTGCTTAATTGCCTTGGTTAAAACTTCCAGTACAATGTTGAATAGCAGTGATGAAAGCAGATATCTTTGTCTGTTCCTCATCTTAGAGGAAAAACTTTCAGTCTTTCACCATTAAGTATGTCAGTTGTGGGTTTTTCATAGCTGGCCTTTATCAAGTTGAGAAACTTCCTTCTATTCCTAGGTTACTGAATTTTTTTTTTTTATCATGAAA